CAACCCCTAAAAAAGATGGAAAGTCCCATTTAGCTAGTGACGAGTGCTCCTCCCTATAGCTCATAGTAAGAAAATACTGTGTCTGATACTAATTTACTTGTCTCCATCAAAACATGTATATTGATGTGTCACGGATTCATAAAATATTTATCACCCAAGAAATCTTTAAAATTAACTGTCATAATTAGCGTGGATTGTAACAATAATTAACTTCAACAAACATGTAGCCGAGTAGGTTATTTACGTAGGCCTTTTTTACGACGACAGACGACAGACCAAATCAGCAGTTTCACGTAGGTGACCAATCCTCCTCGTTAATTGAATATTGATCTATACAATCATTTTACTTTTGCATATCTCGTGATTTAAAATAATTTCTTTTCATAGTTTAAAAAATGTGTTTTTTTTAAATCGTTATTTTAATTTTCAATTATATACTCTGAGCAAAATTTTTTTTGAAAATATCGATATTTTAATATAATGTTTGATTTTGATATTATTGCAATACTGCACAGTGATTTGATAAAATATATCATATGGAACACTAGGAAAAACCCAAAATATATTATTATTTCGTGTATAATAGGTTAGCTTAACTATCGAACAACTATTACGGCAGGTAGGCACACTGTATAGTGTATACAGTACAGTGACGAGTAGTATTACAATTTACAAACACAATATTTGTTATGTAATTGTGCGTGTCACGCCAAGCAAACATTCCATAATATTATAATAGTAAACGGATGGTTAACCTTATTATATTATGTTTTGTTTTTTATTAAAATATTAATAGTTATAACCAGTGGCGTATTTACGGGGGTGGTCCAGGGGTACTGGACCCCCCCAGAATCTCTCAAAAAAAAAAAAGAAAAAAAAGTTTTACATATTTGCAGACCCCGATATTTATGTAAGCACACGCAGACAAGGTTTTTTCCCGTGAACAAAATATTTATATGAAATATAGTTTAAAATTAGCCAACGACCGAACGTTCAAAAACCCGTGTAACTAAACTTATCCTTGTATTGTAGTATTACACTTTATAAAATACCCATATTAGATAAACATCAATAATTCTCAAAAAAGTCAAAACATTCTTATCGCAAGAAATTGACGACGCACATCATTCTCCAATGAACTATTTCTATAGGACAGTATAGCTGGTAGCTATTATTTATCTATTTAAATTTTTGCTTTGTAAACACGGCAATTGTCGTAGAATCATTTACTAAATACTTCATGTATGTATTTTGTTACCGAACGACGGCATCGGCTACGAGTGCAAGTATTTGAATATTATTTCTTCAATAAAATATATTAGATCTATTACTTATGTAAGTACAAATTAAATATATACCTAGTAAATTAGGTAGTAAATAATAATAATAGCTCATTGATCCGATGTGAGCAGTAAAGAATTTATTATTTTTTATAATAACATAAAACATTAATGTAATTTTTGGAGTCAACTGGCCGACAATTAGTATTCATTTAGAACCATGTTTGCCTACTTATATAGTATTTATTTTCTGTTCAGAGATTAGCAGAGTGATATTTACTTATACTATAATTTAAACCTTTCATTATTTTTACGTGTTAACACGAAGTTGACAACATAATATTATTAAACTGCTATGGAAATAATATTAATTGTTAACGTGTAATGAGAATAATTATTGTCTCTCATTTGTGATAGGTGTAAATACAGATTTGACAAAACCTAACATTTCATAATTATTTAATAAATGGCATCAAATTTATTTTTTTATTTTTTTTATAGTTGTATAATTTATAAATTATTTGTATCTATTTATTGTTTGGAAATTGGAATTGGAATAAATATGTCTTCAAATAAAAAAATAAAACTTTGTAAAAAAAAGACACTTGGATTTTGTACTTGAAAATTATAAAATATAATAAAACAACTATTTTTTATTCTTATAATCTATTAAAAACTATTTCTATGTATCAGTTACTTACTATAGGTACTGTACCTATCTATATTATGTTGGAATTATTGGACCACCCCCAGAAAAAAATTGAAAATACGCCACTGGTTATAACACGTTCGTGTTTAATATTCTAAATTTTTAAATGGTAGTTATATTTTATGATGTTTCAACGTTTGTGTGCAATTCACTGTAGATACATGTAAGCACCTTGCCATGTGCAATAAAAACATGATCTGTATTTTTATTTTCATACTGCAGTTGGCAAACGTACTCTGAAAAACTAAAAAGGCATTTGTCTCAACTTTCAGTTCGCAGACAGTGTAATAAAAACGATGATTTCACGAAATCAACAAGCATTTTGTGTACCATGTGCCGTCTTATATACGGGTCCATCAATCTCTTTCTTTATCGTTCTATACTCGTGCGTTCTTATCATAGGTGGTGATTGGGTGGGGGGGGTGCTTGGGGGGCATACCCACTCCTAAAAAACATTGAAAGCCCCCCTAAAATTCAATCAAATCTCCACCAGTTTGGCTTATCCATCTCTGCAGCCGTTATGTCTTGTGCCTGCAGTGACGTAGGTACCTACTACCCAAAATATTATGTATCTAATTACAGATTCGGTGAGCGTGTCTGACAGATAGGCGACCAGGTATGTACCGATCCATGCGTGTCCTAGGAACATCAACGACTCCAGCATGCTGACGCCCTTGTTCTCCAGCGCCGAATGCTTGAACCTGTACGTGGGCATCACGTACGTGTCGAAGTAGAACCGGGCAAGGTGCTCGAGGAACACGAAAAGCAGGTACGTGGTGATCCGAGGCCCGAATGCCACGCGTACCTCCTCGACGAGGTCGCAGAGCTGCGCGTGCGCCAGCCTCTCCGATTCCAGCACTTGACACGTGGTCCGCGGCGTGGACGCGAGCACCTTGGCCACTTCCATGCGCCACCGCGTGCGCAACGACCGGAAGCGAATGCACATCTCGTCGCAGAACAGCAAGTACAGCAGCGGAAATATCGAACTCATGTACCTGCAGCAGCGTGGTAATAAATGATGAAACCATAGAGCATATAGCAGTAAAATCATCATATACAATGATTTTATGATATTATTAACAATATACGACAGTGGGTATCGACATCGCCCTAAGTGGGTATCGACAAGTCCCGCATCGCCCTAAGTATCTTTGTGATACAGTCACACATCTACATAATATTAATATATACAAGATACATACATATTATTTAAGTGCAGTTTTTATCAGTAAATAATAATCAATACAAATTCCGATTTAATGGCATACATTTCTCTTTGAAAAACCCTCATTTAGATATTATATAATTGATTTGCCACGGAGATAATTAGGATGATTATACGGTGCTTTTGGGGCACACTGTATAAGTGGTTCATATTTCCAGAGACAAAGACAATAATAATATAATATGGACTGGCGAGTGGGGTACAAACATTTCTAGGTAGATCGTAGATATACCTATCAAACAGCACCCAACTCAAAAAAAATAGATGCCGTGTGTATTATGCAAATATATATAGGCAATTTTTAGAAAATTCAAAATGCTTAAGTCCAACATTTCATATACTAACACATTCCGGGACTATCACCCGCCCACTCAATAAAATTGATCTTAGACATTTATATACCATTCGGTATTTGAGACCGATGACGCTAGGTATGGGTAGGGTTGATGGGGATTCGGGGAGGAGATTCGTATAGTAAGATGGTGGCCAAATAATTGTTTATAGCGACCCGCGACGAATTGACACCCTACAGTCTGCAGAAGTCTCAGAACAAGTGAAGGCGTACGCATGCCATATTATAATAATTAGCAAATGATAAGAAAAAATAAAAAAGAATAAAAAAAGAAAGAGAAAAGTCGATTTAATGTTATATTTTTTGTGGGTTTGCGGAGGAACATTACAAATCGTTCGCTAAAAAATGTTGCGTTCTATATTTTGTTCGCAGATAACCGGAGTACCGGACGACGACATTTTGCTCGAAAAATCTACTCCACCGCAGTATCATCAGTAGAAACACCGTATCGTGTTAGTTTTCATAGAGAAATGAATATATAATTATAGTACTTTGTACTGTTTGTAGGTCTATTGCCGGTGTGTGCTCGTTTAGTTAAAGGTGCCTACGTACTATACCGTATCGTGTATACACTTATGTAACCCGTACGGCCGCAATATACTTTTGTAGCGCCGATATATTATTATGATGAAATAAAGAAAAATATTTTAACAATAATAGGTAGTTAAATATAATATATAGACTCGAGTAGGCAATAATATTACGACGTTATGTAACATTGTAATGATAATAATAAGAAAACACCATACACCCACGTCTGCACATGTACCTACCTATATTATTGTCTCTGTTGGTCAATTTCCCTAAGTGTGAAAAAAAAATATATAAACTACTTTCTTCACTGCAGTTCATATTATACTCGATTACGAATGTCGGTACTTTAAGTACCTACAATATGCTCGACTTTAACACCTAATAACTGATTTCAACAGTGCCTTCGTGCCCATCTATGATAGTATGATACGTATGTGTTTGCGACTGCAGGCGCAGATCGGAGGGGGGTAAGGGCAATATGGTAATATGAGGCTAACCCCCCCATGGGCGTCTCATACAATGTTGTATTTATAATATAATTTAGTTTCTTAATAAACTAATTAACTATACATTTATTTTTTTTGGAATTCAGTCAATTGCAACTCTAACAATAGGACATTGCCTATAAACTGACTGGTGAGTGGTGGCGGAGATTAATTTTATCATAATTATTGACAAATTCGTAATGATTTAAAAAAAATATCTGCTTTAATATTTGTAGGCTTTTTTAAAAAAAAAAACATCTTTGACCACCTATTCTCACCATTTCAGATTTCTAGATCTGCGTCTGCTCGTGGGTTCCTGATAATAAATATTGTAATATATTATCGGTGGATGATGCAATTATTACAAAACACATACCTCAAAATCGACTCGTAGAATACTTTGGCCGATATTTTGTTAAGCAAAATATCGATGCAGCCGCACGCAAGCAATGTAAACGTACATCCTAGATAGGCGACCACGTAGTAACGAGGACGCGTTCTTTGTTCCGTAGGCCGACCGTACTTCGAGTCGAACCGGTTTGTGTTCTCGATGATTTTCGGCAAACGCATGTCGACGTAGATCGACGTCAGTTGACTTAGAAATTCCCTGAGTATGAAATTTACCGTCCAAAACCACAGAGTAGCCGTTGGATTTCTTATGGCTTTGAACACCAGCAAATAGCACGGCGTTATGTACGTTACCTTGAATGACAAACATTGAAAACACGGTGTGATTAAAAATGTCTACATCCGATCATAAAAAATGCGTATCTCAATATTATTCATATTTTATGGCGTTACAATAATATATCGTACTGTTTAATTTTTTTTCAGGTTTTCAATAGCCTAGCAGACATTTTAAGCTGTCTAATTTTTTTTAATTTCAGATCAGATATTATGATGTTTTATTAGTTTTAAGGATAATTAAAAAACTATATCCATAAAATAATGAGGTTTGTCTTCAAATTAGAACAAAATATTAAATTTGTGATTTAATAATCATGAAGGTTAATAATATTGTTTGGCTATATGATACAAATAATAATATTGTATTATAAATTATAATGAATAAAAAACCGTCAAGTGGGTAACCGCTTTGCTGTTAAGTAGGTGTCAAGTATACCTCGTCATTGAGTTGGCACTGTAATGGATGTGTTAAATTTGAATTCAATGATAAATCATTGTATACGATGAAAAACAATTCTGAGCTAGGACGGTCTAATATTTTGGTGACCGAGGTTACCAAATAATTATATTTTAATAAAAAAAAATTAAGATTTTAACAAATGTTCGTATTTTTTTCCCCAATTATTTTGAAAAGTACTAAGTATTTTCATTTTTGATCTCAATCAAAAATAAAAAGACACATAATTGTTTAAACAATACAAAATAAAAACATTTATTTTAAATTTAAAATATGTATTGGATGGATTTATTACTTATTTTCAACTCGGTATATTCGATTGGTTTATTTTTTTTTTTAATAACAAACAGGGACATAAGGCGCCCAATCACAGCAATTCTTTAACTTTATATTTTAATTTAATTGATTCACTGTTTATTAACGAAAGGTTAACTCGTTGTTCGACTCCATTTTACATATTTTTATAGCGGTTATTATGACAATACTTAACGTTCAGTCGTCTGTACTCGATCACAGTGGTCAGATCTCCTATTCTATATCTTCGTGTATCAACAAGAAACTATTATATTTACTTAATATATTATGTTTTTTTATTCATAATCAATGATCTTTTTCACTTATAACATTTAGTAAAATATTGGAGTGACAAATTGTTTTGATATTACAATGTATTCTATATTATATAATTAAAAGATATAGGTACATAAAAATTACAAGTTTAATAAATATTCAACGTCTTATATCAAACTTTCAATACTTACTTCAACTCAATGCAGCAGAATTAACCTACCACAAAAAAAACTAGAAAAGACATTATTTCAAAAACTTCTTTCTGTTACTCTCTACCTATACAAGTAATGAAGTAGGTATATCGAATAATTGATCGTCTTTACTATAGGTACTTCAAACTGGAAAACATTTTGAAAATTCTTATTGCTCCGAAATCAAAATAGTTAATACACTACTTATAAATTATTATTAATATAGGTACCTAACTAATTTATATATCCTTCATATTTCATCTATATTACTCAACAAATATCTATGAACATCCAAAGTTGTTTGGATGAGGATTACACAAATTATTATTTAGAAATTATATAATATTATAGATATGTACAAATAGGTACTTAAATTTAGAGCTTATAACTAAACTATAAAGAATTAAATTAAATCGTATGTGTAGTTGGATAAATATATCGAAATTAATTAAACGAGTATTTTTTAATTACTTTTAATTGCTTAGTTAATAATTTTATTTTAATATTTAGGTAATGACATTTCAATTTTTAAATTGGTATACATTACAATATGTAGAGACTTCCAAAATATAATCTGGTAGTAGGTAATAATAACTATTAATTAGTACTATTACGAGGTAATAGGTATATTATAAATAATCATACCTATATAATAGTGTTGGATATACATAACACCTACCTATTAGTTACGTGTTTTTAAATACGTACCAATGGCCATATAAGATTAGATCCCCACTGAAAATCTATTCGACCATAAAATACATTTTTAAGGCTCGTCAGTCCCATAATTTTGTACAGCATTAACGTTGATCTTATATCTTCGTAGAAGTCTTTATTCGTGATCGACATTTTTTTGAAAAACTATGTTAATCAAACTATAAAATCATAAAAACAATTGAATGCATAAGTTTCAATTGAAATATTTTGTATTGTATAGTCATACGGCGTAAACTATTGTCATTTACGGTGGAAGTATTAAAACCATTTGTTGTGATCAAACAAAACGACACGACCTGTACATTCATATGTTAGTTTTAAAATATTAATAAAGTTTGCTTAATATAATACATTTTTATTGGGGAAAATGCATATTGTGTACATATAATATGAACGTCAATATTTCATCTTTTCAACCATTTGCAAGGTTCTAATTTAGTTTTCAAGAATAGTAAATTTATATTATCATTCCTCGTGTATGTGATATTGTGTATGTATGTGTGTGTGTATTTTTTAATAATAAAACTATTGACCATGCTAATATTTATCTAAATTATTGATATAGGCGTGTAACTATATTAAGTAGTGAATTTATTACTTTGATGTAACACAAGAAATAAATACAAGTTTTCGAGTTTGATTGTCTTCAATTTGACAATAAATATTTTATCAAACAAGTAATTGGAACGACGCTTTGATTATTCCGTCAGTTCTGACGAATTAATATTTAATTTTTTTGGTTTAGCATATTATTATTATATTTTACTCAGTGGCCTCGGGCCTAGATAATATATTCCACTTTTCGTGCAAATGAACGTCGAATAATGAAAAGTGAATTTAATTAATGTATCATTCATCTTACCTATTATATGTTATTACTTATTATGTTTCTGTCGAAATTACCTAATTCCGAATTCGGTTATTTGGCCTGGGCCAGTTTTCGTGTTGTTTACGATTTCATGTTAAATTATAGGTATATAACTTATATCTACATATGTATTCATATATAATAAAGATATGGTGAACATTTTTTTTTCAAAAATTATACCAGGTCGTTATATACGCGTTCCGTGCAACAAATAACTCTTTTTATTTTATCACTTCGTAAACAGCACTCATTAATGAGTGTGTGGTATCGACGAGGTTCACATGAAAAAATCGAGTAAGGAAATATCGTTTCGTTGAGTTATTTAATATATTTATACTGTATAGGGCAGCTAACAGGTCAGTATAGTAATTAGTAGGTGTCTATCTTATAGTAGAAAATATCATAAAAATAAAATAGTATAATATTTTTATTAATTACATACAAACTATCTTAAATCGTAATAATATCAGATCTCAATAGTTAGCATAGGCACATACAATAAATGCAAAATCATATTGTGCTTTGAGAATTGATTCAATTTGCGGGACCCGTTTAGCTCAAAAATGACCCTAACCGTTTCGCCCAAATTTTGTTTTTATATGATTCCCGTTTCGCTCAGAGTAATTTAGACCAATTTAAAACGAAGTTGCCAATGATTATAATATTTTAATATTTGAGTATCATTTAGCGTTATCCAGAAAACACCACCAGGCGAAGCATTTAACTAATTTAAAATTTAGTACACAATATTTATAAAAACGTATTATTAAAAAATCAAATTTACTCAGTAATAAAAATCTACACATATAATAAAATCGATTTTAATCGTTCAAAATATATTTATTAATACCTACACTTAATTCTTGAAATTATTACACATACTTTTGTGTACTTGTCTATTTGTTTGTAGATTGCGTAATCAGCACCATTTCTTCTTAGCGTTCCCTAAAATATAATATTTGACTGAACTATTGCCAACTTAAATTGGTCTAAACTACTTTGGGCAAAACGGGAATCATAAAGAAACAACATTTTTGTGAAACGGGTACCCGGGCGAAAAGGAGACAGTCATTTTTGGGCGAAATGGGTTACGTCCACATTGGGGTTTTGTTTACCCGATGATTTTTATTTACTAATATAATGGGCATAGCCCGTTTCACCCAAAAATGACCTCCCCTTTTCGCCCGGGTTAGGTTAGGTTAGTATAGTAAATAAAAATCATCGGGTAAACAGAACCCAAAATGTATAGGTTGTAGGTATGCACTAACTCGTCAGCTTTGTATCTACATACGAGTTATAAATATAACGTGTACCTACTTTTTCGTAATTCCATTCAATTTCAGCAGGTGCAAAACTTTTATTAGTCAAATAATCGTAAAGACAAATTAACTCATTTTTAAAGCCAATCGCTTTGCTCACGTGACCTAGGTATTTTTTTATATTTGATAACAACATAATATAACATACAAATATCGACATCTGTATATACATAATACATTCTACATATAGGTAAAAATATAATATGTATATGAAATTAAAAATGTTATTTTGGTAAATTTAGTCTATAATCGATGATATTGTTAGTTGTTACAGCTTATCTGTGATAATGAATTAATAATAACAAAATTACTATACAAGTTATAATAGTTATAACTTAACGTTATTTTATTATTTGTTCTGTTATGTTATCTTTTGTAAAAAATTGGACAAATCAATGAAATTGTATTGTATTTTAACAGGTATAAAGTTCAGCTTTTGTAGGTGCGAAAGCATATCTTTACACATGCAAGTGAACCGTCGTGCACCCCCGTAATTTTACCACTGCGTATCTATATAAAGGAGCATCATAAGTACGAGTTTGGATAATATTATTATGAAACGAGTAAATCATAAACAAAGAAAAGATGGTTAAATAGTTATTCTTCAACGAGTTATGATAGGTAGTTTTAAAGTATTTATGATGTATCTATATTCTATACCTACTATACATGTATATATTAACACGAATTATTATATATTATTTTATTAGGTACCAATAATAAAATACGGCATCTCTATATTTTAGTCAACTGCAAACGCAACTGGAACAGAAATCGGATAGTTGTTTCAATAACCCTGGAATGCAATCAATTAGATAATATTATAAATTATTATATTATATGTATTTAGTTTAACACGTTAGTTTATGGCAATTCATAATATACCTTTGGGATCCGATTAATGAAATA